GAAATCCACAACTTCTACAAACTTTTGAACTGTACTTTTCAACAACTTTTATCAAAATCTATTAAAATTTTAATTTTTAGCTAAACCAAACAAGGTCTAAATATAGAACTAACCTTATTGTTCTTAATAAAGAACTGATAAGAACGTGTTTGAAAAGTGACTGATTAAAACAAAGGTGCACGGGGAAATTCAACAGGTTTTGGCACAAAAAGATAGATGTCTTCCTGTGATTGACAGCTGGCAAAAACGGTTGTCTTCCTGTGCAAAAATTTGTTGAATTTTCCTGTACTCATAGCATTTTTCTTGTTAGTTAGGTTTCTAACTCCGTCGATTTTAGTGCAAAGTAGTCAAATTGAATTTTATAAGCTAGGCGATCGAATTAAGCGAAAAATAAAAGTTATATGGTCAAATTGAATCAAACTTAAGTTGATTGACCAACATGAAATAAACTTGTAAGTATGGTAAAACTTTACCTTTCATCGTATGGGAGATACTGAAATAAGATTATAATGAAAATGAATGGTAAGTTCTATGAAATGTATGAATAATAAGTGGATAATAACGGTGAATGCGGGGTTAAGCCTCTGCTTAGTGGACTTTAATTTAATTTAATTTATTTTTCATTCTCAATCACACTTTCAACAATAAAATATTCTACATGTAAATTTAAAACTTTCCCTACTTTTTAATTACTCATTCTTTGAAAAATATTATTTAAAACATAGTTTTTTTTCAAATTAAAGATTATCAAACATGGCTAAAATTAATGTTTGACTTTGAAATTTAGGCGGACAATTCTACTCAATGCAGTTCACATATGGATTCAAATCACGCATAATGGAAGATTTGGGTTTCATCATCCCAAGACTTGTAATTGCTTGAAACAAAAATATTTGCTTAATTTTTCTACCTTTTCTCATTAATTTATCACTAAATTAAGTGTATCACAGGATAATTGTTCAAGTCCTTTGCAGTTTGCAGTTACATCACATTACCTTTGTATGCATTAATCACACAGGTAAACTAATCAATTCAAATTAGTCCCTAAACTTTCAACGAAATATCGGTTTACTCACCTAACTTTATTTTTATTTCAACTTCGTCCACTCAATCGTTGGACTTAAATTTTTGTTGGTTTACGGAATGCAGATGGGTAACATGTTCAAGAAGACCGTTGTTGAGGAGTCTACACTAGAACTTATAACCCATTGGTTTAAAGGAAGGGAAAGTGATCTAGAAGGCGCCTGTAGGACTCATACGAATAAACTAGCCATGGAATTGGCTCGAGGCTCGACCTCCTTTGTTAAACAATGGACCATTTAGATTCATTGAGCTTGTGATGATCGTCACGTTTCTCTCCTTCATCCTAGCAGCAAATGTACCGGTCCCACCTCCAATGTCAAGTCCAATCCGAATTGTACCACAAGGTTGTGATGATTGTCACATTTCTCTTTAGTTTTGTCAGTTTCGTCATTGAGGCTCGATAGTTGAGTTAAGAGTGCTTCTACAAGTACATCCGTCGACTTGAGCTTCTTCTCTGTTAAGTCTCTGATTTGTGATCGATTGGCTGTAAGTTCTTCCTGTATATCGTTGAGCTTATGCAACACGGCCCACTCATACCAGCGTCTCACCATCTTCACGTCGTTGGTTGAGTTTAGAGATTGCGTGCAAGTTGAAAGACGGACCGATGAATATGTAAATTGCAAGAAGATTAGTTAGCACAGTAAGTACTAGAAAATTGAGCTTGAACTTAGTTTGATTGTGTTGATATGGTTGCTTTCTAATAAGATGGTATTCTTCTGCTTCACCCCTCATTTTTTTCTAAAGAAATTAGAATGTTTAGATGGGGTTTTGGTTAAAGAGCAAGGGAATAGAAGACAGTACGTAGGTGGTGTAATCTTATATTATAAAGTCCAGTGTAGAAATGTCTTTAAATTATGGATCTATTGGCTTCTTTAAATTTTGATGCACCAGTTTAGACGTTCGAGGTGATTGATTAATGCACAAAAGAGAAATAAAGTTAAAAATCTTGACAATGGAATACACCTCTTTATATATTTATTTCTAAATCGGAAGGACGAATCTTCGTCAATCCATAGATATGTAATAACTTCAGGAGGTGCATACAGGGCATTCATTTTTAATCTGGTACAATCAGATCACTCAACTTCAATTTACATGCAAATCTTGTCGCTCATCTTCAATTTTGGTGTCCCGACTTTGATTTACTTGTAGATTCGGTCTCTTTGTCCACTATTGTTAGTTTAAATATCTAAATATGTTGATGTAGATGTTAAAAATAATAAGTGGTTGGCACGTGGAGATGCTCTTAGTTTATAAAAGGTTTTTTTAGAATATTTTAAGATGGCTGGTGTGCATAGCAATGTGACGCATAGTCATGCACTGGTTTTAAAATCGAGGTCGGTAACAATTTAACATTAGTTAGGCAATTCATAGAATGATTAGATTTGCAAGCAAGTGGAAGTCGGGGTAACTTGATTGCTCAATTTTAAGATGGGTGACTAGATTATGAAAAAATTGAAGTCGGATTATCTAATTGTATTAAGTTGAATATGAGTGACCTAAATGCAAATCTGATCAACGTTGGATGGCTTGCAGTGAATTTGACCCAAAATAGAATCATTTGGTTTACCCAAAATAGAATCATTTGGTTTAATCTTCTCAATAGTAATAAAATGATCATCTTAGAGTAATTATTTTTGTCAGTGTACGCTCCAAAGGATGAAACCCGATTATGCAATATGTATATTAAGAATTGTTTTTGTCAATGTACGCTCGTATTGTCTAAAGGATGAAACCCGATTATGCAATATGTACATCAAGAATTTTTAAGTTTTGTTCATTTAGTTACTTTTAAGTTAGATGAACAATCAAATAGTTTTTTTTAAATATGGAACCAAACCAGAACCGAAAAATTCAATTCTGATTTGGTTTGGTTCCAGTTTTATTAATGATTTGAGGAACAAAAATTAACATTTGAGGAAGAATAATCAAAAGTTAAATCTATGCGATGATAGCAGAATGCGGCGGTAGACGGCAAGTTGTTGTCATTGATCTCCATTTGAGAGTCGTCGTATAAATTGAAAATGAGAGAAAACAAGAAATGAATTAGGGTTTGGGTCTCTAGTGTCCACATTGCAAA